AGTGCAGTGGCATGATCATAGCCACTAAGGAGTTTAAGATCAGCTTAGGCAACATAGCAAGATCCCATCTCTACAAAAAAAAAAAATCAAAAAAATTAGCCAGATGTGGTGGTAGTTCCAGCTACTCAGGAAGATGAGGCAGAAGGATCGCCTGAATCCAGGAGGTCAAAGCTGCAGTAAGCTATGATCATGCCACTGCACTCCAGCTTGGGCAACAGAGTGAGACAACAACTCAAAAATAAAAAACAAAGAAAAGAAGAAGAAAGATTCAAATAAGCATAACCAGAAATAAAAAGAGACATTACAACTGATAACAAAGAAATACAAAAGATCATCAGAGACTACTATAAACATCTCTGTGTTCACAAACCAGAAAACCTAGAGGAAACAGATAAATTCCTAGAAACATACAATCTCTCAAGAGTGAACTAGGAAGAAATAGAAATCCTGAACAGACCAATCATGAGCAGTGAAAACTGAATCAGTAATAATAACAAACAAAAAAAGCTCTCAACAAAAAGAACTCAGAACCATATGGATTCTCAGTCAAATTGTACCAGACATACAAAGAAAAACTGGCACAAATCCTACTGAAATTGTTCCAAAAAACTGAAAAGGATGAAATCCTTCCTTATTCTACGAAGCCAGTATCACCCTGATACCAAAGCCAGGCAAGGACACAACAAAAAAGAACACTTAAGACCAATATCCCTAGTGAACATACATGCAAAAATCCTCAACAAAATACTAGCAAACTGATTCCAACAGCATAGCAAAAAGATAATATACCACTATCAAGTGGCTTTTAGTTCAGAGATGCAAGGATGGCTCAATATATACAAATCAATAAATGTGATTCACCACATAAGCAGAATTTAAAACAGAAACATGATCATCTCAGAAAAAGCTCTTGATAAAATTCAACATCCCTTTCATGATTTAAAAAAAACCCTCAACAGGGCAGGCACGGTGGCTCACACCTGTAATCCCACCACGTTGGGGGGAATCACTTGAGCCCAGAATTCAAGATCAGTCCAGATAATGCAGTGAGACCCTTGTCTCCATTCTTAAATAAAATAAAAAACCCTCAACAAATTAAGCATAGAAGGAACATACCTTGAAATAATAAAAGTCATATATGACAAACCCACAGTCAACATTATACTAAACGGGGAAAAGTTAAAAGCATATAAGAACTGGAACATGACAAGGACGTTCACTTTCACCACTCCTATTCAACATAAAACAGGAAGTCTGAGCCAGAACAATCAGACAAGAAATAAGAGGCATCCACATCAGAAAACAGGAAGTCAAATGATCTGTGTTTGCCGATGATATAATCTCACGCCTAGAAAACCCTAAAGCCTCCTCCAAAAGACTCCCAGATTTGATAAATGAATTCATGAAAGTGTCAGGATACAAAATCAACATACAAAAATCAGTAGCATTTCTATACAATAGTAATAAAGCTGAGAAGCAATCATGAACTCAATCACCTTTTACAATAGCTACAGAAAAATAAAATACCTAGGAATACATTTAACCAAGGAAGTAAAAGATCTCCATAAGGAAAACTACAAAATACTAATGAAAGAAATTCGGTAACACACAAAAAAAGGGAAAACATCCCATTCTTATGGATTGCAAGTATCAATATCGTTAAAATGCCCACACTGCCCAAAGCAATCTACAGAGTTAATACAATTCCTATCAAAACACCAATGTCATTTTTCACAGAATTGGAAAAAAGAAAATCCTAAAAGTCATATGAATTTTTAAAAAGAGCCTTAATAGCCAAAGCAATCCTAAGCAAAAAGAACAATGCTGGAGACATCACATTAGATGACTTCAAATTAAACTACAAAGCTATAGTAACCAAAACAGAAGGTACTGGTATAAAAATAGATACCCAGATCAGTGGAACAGAATAGGGAACCCGGAAATAAATCTACATAACTACAACCAACTGACCATCAACAGTCAACAAAAACACAGGATACCTTATTTAAGAAATGGTGCTGGGAAAACTGGTTAGTCATAGACTCATCTTTCACCATATACAAAAATTAAAATAGATTAGAGATTTAAATGTAAGACTTGAAACTAAGTCGGGCTTGGTGGCTCAGCCTGTAATCCCACGCCCTTTGGGAGGCTGAGGTGAGTGGATTGCCTGAGCCCACGGGTTCGAGACCCGCCTGGGCAGCAAGACCTCATCTTTACAATAAATCAAAAAAACCAGCCAGGCGTAGTAGTACATGCCTGTAATTCCGGCTACTTGGAAGGCTGAGGTGGAAGGATCGCCGGAGCCCAGCAGGTCGAGGCTACAGTGGCGGGAAGCAGCCACTGCACTCCAGTCTGGGCGACAGAGTGAGACTCCAACTCAAAAAAAAAAAAAAAGACGTGAAACTAAAAACTATAGAAGAAAACCTAGGAAATACTTTCCTGGTCACTGGCCTAGGCAAAGAGTTTATGACTAAGATCTCAAAAGCAAATGCAACAAAACCAAAAATAGACTAACGAGACTTAATTAACCTAAAAAACTTCTATACAAGAGAAATAATCAACAGAGTGCACAGACAACCTACAGAATGGGAGAAGATATCTTTAAACCACACATCTGACCAAGGACTAATATTCAGAATCTACAAGGAACTCAACAAGAAATAAACAAATAACCTTATTAAAAAGTGGTGAGCCGGGCTCGGTGGCTCAGCCTGTAATCCCGCGCCTTTGGGAGGCTGAGATGAGTGGATTGCCTGAGCCCGCAGGTTCGAGACCCGCCTGGGCAGCGAGACCTCATCTCTACAATAAGTCAAAAAATCAGCCAGGCGTGGTAGCACATGCCTGTAATTCCGGCTACCTGGAAGGCTGAGGTGGAAGGATCACCGGAGCACAGCAGGTGAAGGCTGCGGTGGCGGGAGCAGCCACTGCACTCCAGTCTGGGCGACAGAGTGAGACTCCAACTCAAAAAAAAAAAGTGGGTGGACCAGGTGTGGTAACTCATGCCTGTAATCCCAGCACTTTGGGAGGCAGAGGCAAGAGGATTACCTGAGCCCAGGGGTTCGAAACCAACCTGAGCAACATGGCAAGACCTAGTCTCTAAAAAAAAAAAAAAATTAGCCAGACGTGGTGGCTTGCATCTGTAGTTCCCTGCTACCTGGTAGGCTGAGGCAGAAGGGTCACCTGAGTCCAGAAGGTTAAGACAGTGGTGGCTGTGAGTGTGCCACTGCACTCCAGCCTGGGTGACATAAGCAGACATTTTTCAAAAGAAGACATACAAATGGCCAACAAGCATATGAAAAAATGGCCAACATCACTAATCATCAGAAAAATGCAAATTAAAACCACAATGAGCCACCATATACCAATCAGAATGGTAATTATTAAAAAATCAAAAAACAACAGATGTTGGCAAAGATGAAGAAAAAAGGGAACACTTATAAACCACTGATAGGAGTGTGAATATACAACCTCTACAGAAAACAGTATTGAGATTTCTCAAAGAACTAATAACAGAACTACCATTTGATGCAGCAATTCCATTACTGAGTATCTATCCAAAGGAAAAGAAATCATTATATCAAAAAGATACCTGTACTTGTATGCTTATCACCATGCTATTCACACTAAAGCAAAGATATGGAATCAACCTAAGGGTCCATCAGCAGAGGACTGGATAAAGATGATGTGGCATGCATATACCACGGAATACAATTGAGCCAAAAAACAGAATGAAATCATGTCATTAGCAGAAACATGCATGGAATTAGAGACCCCATTATCCTCAGTGAAATAACTCAAAAACAGAAAGCCAAATACCACATGTCCTCAATTGTGAATGGGAGTTAAATAATGTGAAGACATGAACACAGAGAGAATAGAATAACAGACATCGGAGACTCAGAAAGGTGGGAGGGTGATGAAGAATGAGAAGTTACTATGCGATATATCCATGAAACAAAACTGCACTTACATCCCCTAAATATACAAAATATATGTATAAAAATAAAACTACAGCTAGATGCAGTGGCTCACACCTGTAATCCCAGCACTTTGGGAGGCCGAGGCAGGAGGATCCCTTGAGTCTAGGAGCCTGAAAACTGTCTAGGTAACATAGCAAGACCTCATCTGTACAAAAAAATAAAAAAATTAGCCGGGCACACTGGCTCATGCCTATAGTCCCAGTCCCTCAGGAGGCTGAGGCGGGAGGAAGTGGAGGCTGCAGTGAGCTATAATCGTGACACTGCATTCCAGCCTGGGTAACAGAATGAGACCCCAACTCAAAAAAAAAAAAAATCGCCAGAGACATCCATGTTTCCAAAGCCAAGGGTGACACACACTGCTTTTCTGTCTGTCTTGCATCCTTCTCCTTTGGGCATATTCTCTTATCCCACCTACTCCATAGAACCCAGGAGGGCTGTCAATCCCCTCGGACTCATCTTCCTCACCAAAGGAAAGGGATCCTGACCCAAAAGGGTCATATGTGGGGGACATGAAATGAACCCTAGGAAAGAAAGGCCTGTACTTTTTTCTCTGAGATTACCAGTCCTCGGGACTATTTAATTTTTAATATAAGCCTAACAAGGCCAGTGACCATCTCTGACTGTGAAGATGCCCTGCCTGAGAATCAGACCCCCACAGAAGAAAGCTGGAAGGGACAAGGAAGTAGGGAGCTGCGCACGAAGGAAATGGGGAGGAGACACAGGGTTTAATAAAATGAGGGAGAGAAGGAAGAGCTGCCTAGAAAACATCTTTCTATATCAGATACACATCTACAGAATTCTCACAATTAACTACACAGTAGCCACTACACGGAAGTAACTTAACTTTAGTTCATATTGGACATTCAAATTCGTATTTTTAACTATTATAAAATATGTATTATAAATATATATAATGATGTATATAAATATATACATATAGCTATACACATAAAGTCATATTTGCAAAATTGAGGAGTCATATTGCCCATTCAATAATATAAAGGTAGTTTTACTTACCCACTGAATGATAGCTGCTTGTCTTCAAGTCGAACATACAAACAGCACTTGATGACCCACACTGGGCAATATTCACATTTCCACAGACATTGATTTTATAAAGTACATTATTTTTGGTATCAACAGCTTCCCATGTGTAACTGGAAAGGAAGAAAAATAACTTGTCACTGTCATTAATTGCCAATTATTAAACTTCTTTCTAGTATTACATTCAAACCACATTAGCTTTAAAATGCCATGAACTAAAAGACATTCTTTAATTGGTCACAAATACTAAAAACACAAGTATGTTAAGTTGCAAAGAAACCAGGGCAGAAACCAGTAAATACCACCTCACTCTGGTTAAGTCCGCTCTGAAGCAACCTCAAGACTCAATGATCATCAAAATATAAAAATCCTACCATTAATTTAAGAATATCAATTCAGATAAATAACTGCTCAAGAATTATGGTGAATATAAAATAGCAATAACCCTTCCAATCACACCAACATGCTGAAAAAAGCCAAAGGATTTTTAACTCTTTATTTTACTGAATAAAAATACTAGTTATGGCATGAAAGACAGTTCTATTTCTGGTTTTACCTTTTACAGCTACAGTTCAGATCTGAACTGACAAGAAAAAGTTGTACAATGAATCAACTATCTGATTTGAAATCTGAAAGAACATAAGATGGAGTCAGTATACCCAATGAGCAGCCATTTTAACATTGCCTAGATCTGTCATGTTTTTCTAGCAGTTCACTTTAATTTACCCTCTAGTCACTAGCCAAGGACAGAACCGGCTACCCAGAGGTAGCTATTGATAAGTGTATTACAACCCCTTCCCCAGCTTGCTTTGTAAATGCGTTAACCTAATCAGCCATTCGTGACCTTCATGACACAGACCCTATCAACATGGCAACAGCCATGTAACTGGTCCACCCATCTGTCTGCTTAACGTCAGTACCTGTGCTTACCTGTCTCCCTCATCATGACGTGGAACAGGCCACCACTGAGTCACCTTAATGACCTACCCCCATCAAAAGGAAGGTTTAAAATCATTCAACTTCAAGCAGTCATTCAGCATTGCTTTGTTAAACTCAGGTGTGTCCCCTTGGCTCTTTGAGCTATGGCCACCATGTTTCCTAGCTTTGGTCCCCTCCACTACCTTGAGGAAGTGAATCTCCTCTCCCCTCCCTCTCTCTTCCCTCTCCCTTCCTCCTTCCCTCCCTCTCTCTGTTTCTTTCTAATTTACTTTCTAAATAAACTATATTTTCCAATCTAACTTCTGCTCAATTCTTTGTATCGTCTGTGCAGCACCAGATTGCAGACCACCCCCGGCAGGTCTGACCTAACATTTTGGAGGCTCCACTGGGATCTTGTGACCTAACAAAATTTACTTTAGGTTGATTCACTATACCGAGTCCTAAAACTCAATGTCAGGCAAAGTAGATAATGAGTAATTAATTGCTAATGAATCAATCCCTATAGTTAGGACAAAATAGTTGGTTTGCCAGTTCTGTCAAAACAGTCAGTCTTAATTCTTTACTCTTCCTTGGGAGAATGTTTTGTCAATTTTGTAAATGGGGATCATTTCCTCAGCAAGACTAGAAATGGAAGAGAGTGACTAAAAAGTTCCTTACAAAGATAACTTATTAACTTTAATTCATCAGTACTGCTGAAAGGAAAGAAGATAAGTTCAATCCGAATTGGTTACACTAGGTCTGTGCAGGAATTGTGGAGGCCTAGAGTAAGACCACTCATGTCTGTATAACTGACAGAGCTTAACCACCTAACATAATACCCCTAACGACACAGAGCACTCCCCGACCAGAACCACCTCCCCATACAAAGCACTCCCGCTATTAGAACCACCTCCCCAAGCTCCAGTCCACTGGGCATCAAGTCATTACTCAGCACAAAACCAGCAAGCAACATCCCCCCCCACCCAACCAGAACTATTTTCAGCCAGGAAGGAGCCACAACAGCCCTGCAGGGGTCAATGGCAGACAAGGTGCCAAGCTCTCCCCTAAATGTAGGTCTGGGGGTCCACCTGCCAAGAAGCTAAAGGAGGCAAGCACATACAGGCGAGCAGAGTGGCCTCGAATTTCAGATGGTCATGATACTGCCATAAACCTGAAAAACAGGCTGGTGTGCTGGTCATGATACTGCCACAAACCTGAAAAACAGGCTGGTGTGCTTGTGACAGCCTTGGGTGTTACTAACTACTGAGCTTGGCTTCTTTATCAGGACCATGTCAGCTCTTAAAGAGTCAGGTTGACTAAGGAACAGAACATAACCCAGGTATTTCCAGGCACAGAGAAAGCCATCAGGAAAGACTTCTTTCCCTTGCTCTCCATGAACCTCCATCCATTTGTTTCCCAGGAATTTCCTAAGTGTACTTACTGTAGGAGGCACAGGGGAGCAGGCAATGAAAAGAACAGAGTCAGCCGGGCTCGGTGGCTCAGCCTGTAATCCCGCGCCTTTGGGAGGCTGAGGTGAGTGGATTGCCTGAGCCCGCGGGTTCGAGAACCGCTGGGCAACTTGGCGAGACCTCATCTCTACAATAAATCAAAAATCAGCCAGGCGTGGTAGTGTGTGCCTGTAATTCCGGCTACTCGGAAGGCTGAGGCGGAAGAATCACCGGAGCCCAGCAGGTCGAGGCTGCGGTGGCCGGGAGCGGCCACTGTACTCCAGTCTGGGTGACAGAGTGAGACTCCAACTCAAAAAAAAAGAACAGAGTCCCTGCCCTCTTGAAGCATATATTCCAGGGAGGGGAACAGAAGGTAAATAAGCAGACAAATACACAGGATAAGCCCCCCCTACGAACACATGCTCTGATGAAAACAAAACAGCATAATGTGACAGGAAATGACTGAGTAGTTACTGCAAACTGAGAAGTCTTCTAAGATGGCATGTGCCCTGAGATGTGAATGACAAAGAGGAACAACCCTGGGAGAAATGTGGCAGCAAGCATATTCTAAGCAGACAGACCAGACAGACTGCAAGGTCCTTAGGTGGGAGTGGACCTGGCACATGCAGGGGGCAGAGAAGCAGGGCAGAAGCAGAGCAGGTGAGGTCAAGGAGATGGAGGACCAGCCATACAGGGACCCTGTGGGATAGGGGCAGTGGTGGTGATGTTATAATTGAAGCAAAGGAAGGCCACTCAAGACACTATGAACCGTCCTTAAAATTGTAAGCTCGTGTTTTTATTTGCAGAGTAAGAGTAAAACTTTTCTACTATTAATTTGGGTTAATTCAGGAACAATGCTCTTTTTCAGGAGCCCTGACGAAGCTCTTCCAGGATCACCAGCAAGCAAACATAAGACGGTGGCAGTGACATCATGAAATTATTTCACAATCCCACGAATATGATAGCGGTGCATGAAGGCGGCATTGCAAATGAGTCAGCTGGCAGAAATCAATGTAAAGAGATCCACGTAAGACCTAAAATACTACACTTTTCTTAAAAACAGATAACCACTACTGCTTTTGCAAAAGTGATATTTACCAAATGTAAATGTAAAGAGTATGTGTTTGGGAAGCAGAAAAGAGATGAAAAAGTAAAACAAGGGATATTGTCTGAGTATCTGGAAATCAGGGTTTCTAGAAAGAAAAATGTTCCACCATTCAATTCTATTCCCTACTTGCATATCATGTTTTTTTGGTCAAGATTTATCCAAATGTAAGTGGGTTGAGTATAAGGTACCTGAACACTAACTTTTTTCAGGGGGTTGATTTAACCACTTAGCATGGGGCAGCCCTCCTCCAATTTTGCAAAACCTTCAATGCCACTCCAAACCCATAGGCAGCACTTGGGCAAAGGCACGGACATCTTAGAGCTCTAGTCATATCACTCCATAATGAAGGGGAGGTCACAGCAGGCTTCTAAACAATACTACCAAGGCATGTGCAAGCTGCCAGCACTTGAAGCATTCTGAATTCTGATTCCAATGGACATTATGCCTGCCTTAAAACAAACTAATGTGCCTACTGTCTAGTATCATTAGGAACTCAGGGACCATCATTCAGTGGAGAAAAATCTCTCTAAAAACTCATGAAGCATATTCCAAAAACTATTATGTACTCTGGTATGCACTCTGGTTAAATTATCTTCTAAATATGCTTTCACTAGTGGTAAGTTTTTCCTAAAGACTATTTCATAATAAACTTGCAAGTCATATAAATATCTGATAGCAATTTTTAAGAAAATACAAGTTTGAAACTAAATGAGTCTAAATTTCCAGATTAAAGGCCAAGTCACAAGAATTGCCTAGGCTAAAATCATTCTTAAAATTAAACTGATGCTAAAGTTCATCATATTATAAAATCTGCGAATGGTTTCAGAAGCCATAAAAGTATCACAGGCTAAATAAAATGTAATGATATCCTTGAGGAATAATAGACTGTTGTCTGAAAGTCTGTTAACTAAAAAATTCTCTACCTGAAGCAAGTTAGTTCATACAGTCAAAATTAGGAAACTATTCCCCAACAGTACGGCTCATTTAACAGCCAGGCAAGTGAGACCATTCAGCTGAGATCCCCAAAAAAAGCCTACATTCTAGACTAAGTCATTTGAACTTACACAAGTAAAGATTTAAGAAAAAAGCAGACAGAAAAAAATGAATCATCATATTAAACCAAAGAGGAAACTAAGTTGCAATATTAAGAGCTTAAATTTTAGCAGGAAACAGCCTCTGGAAGAAAACACCTGCAAGCTGTGTGGAAAGGCAGTCTTCGCTAAAAGCACACACCAAAGAACGTTTCAAATATATCTGCCATTGCAAGGAGCTTCCGAGCAGGATAGGCAAGAAACCCAGTGGGCATTTTCTTGAAACTCTTAGCACTCCTGTGTCAGTCTTCTAGGAAGCCAGCGGGACACAAGAAGATGGGGCAAGGAGAACAGCAGAGGCCTGGGGAAGCAGCTTGTCAACCAGAGGCATCACCCAGAATCCCACCCACACTCCCAACCATGCACAATCCAGGCAATACCCTCAAAGGGGGCAGCTAATTTCGGTTAGAATTGCTCTTCCGGATACAAAACTATCCGTGCAAGAACCTTGGTTTTGAACCAAGAACAAGCAAGAGCAAGCAAAATCCTTGCTGTTCTACCTCATTTTTCAGAGTGTAAAGCATGTTTAGTTGATGATCTCTCTCCTACTCTCAAAAATCCAAATTCAGCCAGGAATAGTGGCTCACATGTATAGCCTCAGCTACTAAGGAGACTGAGGAAGTTCGAGGTTGCAGTGAGCTGTGATCATGCCACTGCACTCCAGCCTGGACAACAGAACGAGAACCCATGCCTTTTTAAAAAAAAACTCCCTTGCCGGGCTCGGTGGCTCAGCCTATAATCCCGCGCCTTTGGGAGGCTGAGGTGAGTGGATTCCCTGAGCCCGCGGGTTCGAGACCCGCCTGGGCAGCGAGACCTCATCTCTACAATAAATCAAAAATCAGCCAGGCGTGGTAGCGCATGCCTGTAATTCTGGCTACTTGGAAGACTGAGGTGGAAGGATCGCTGGAGCCCAGCAGGTCGAGGCTGTGGTGGCCGGGAGCGGCCACTGCACTCCAGTCTGGGTGACAGAGTGAGACTCCAACTCAAAAAAAAAAAAACTCCCAAAACAACCCTGATAATTGTAGACACACACAAGCCCCAGTAACTCCCCCAGACCAGCATGCTCCCCTGCTGATTCAACAGCTCCGGCACCAGCTGGACGGTACTTCATACAACGCAGTGGTAGCATTTTCTGAGGTGTCTGTTATCCCCAGTTACACCATCACTCTGGAACAGTAATGCCCTCCCTTCCAGAGCAACAACTGACAGATGCAAAATTAATATTTGCTGAAGGTTTAAGAAGGAAACCTGCCAGAGGACTAAGAATGGATCACAGCACAATGCACCCACAGGGCTCACACCTGAGCTGAATCTGCCCCAGCATCTGACGGCATCAGCCAACCCTCCCAAGCTCCTCAGCTCTGGAGCCAAAGACCCC